GTCTTGGAATATAATTGCCTTAAAAGGGGAAGTGGCCAACGTGTGGCGTACATCTGTACTTTTTTTCGAATTTCGTACACAAGTTAGGGCAGACTCACAAAAATGATCCTGATTTTTTTGCTCGCCTTTTGTCAGGGTAAACTAGGTTTTCTCACCGGGAGAGTACGCGAAATGCGGAGAGCGGTCAGAAAACTTTTTTGGCCATATATTTGTCGATTTCTGTGAAGACATTACCGTCTCCGATTAAAAAAAGACTGATGTAAAATGTCGCATCAGTCTGTCAGGAAAATAATGACCGCAATGTCGCAGCGCCAACCGCGTCGCTGAAGTGAAAAGCGATTTGATTTTTTCCGCGGCACAATACACTTTCTCGGTCGCGATACGATTTTTGATGTCATTATTTTCATTATTTTCCCGACAGACTGAAATGAGAAAAGATGTAAAATATTGGTTCAACTTTTGGACTAAAAATCTCGGTCGTTTCTGAAAACCGCAGTATTTTGGCAAAAGTCTTTCAAAAAACAATCTAAGCTCGAGCCGATTTTCAATAGAATTTGAGCGTCGCGCTTTGGGCACTTTTTGAGTTCCATGTAAAAATATTTTCATAAAGTGGATGGATAGTTGCCACAGTCCGCACCGTGCACAAAAATCCTCATTTTGCACCGTGCGTTTCGCTTTTTTTTGGTTTTCGCACTGTGCTCGAAATATCGCCGCGACATAGGCAAGTTTCAACTATCGGTCTGTCGGGAAAAAAACGGCGGATCGTCGCGCCTCGGAGTCGCTCATCATCGCTTTGCGACTGCAAGCCGCGGCTTGGGATTTGGTGCGCGATAGCGGCGAGGCGAGACATTTTGCTGCGACGATCCGCCGTTATTTTTCCGACAGACTGATATATACGCCGGTGCGGCAAGGTTAGGGATTTGCATGGTGCAAAATGTTTCGAAAAAAATTGCGTCGTGCAGCGTGCGCGGCGAGGTGGGAGAAAATGCCAAAAAAGGCTACGAACTTTCTGGAACGACTAGTATGATAATGCTGCTAGTCTTTTCACAGAATGCGTAGACTTTTTGTCCCGAAGCGTCGTCGCTGCGAATTTTGCGCGCGCGGCGACAATTGCACAATGTAAAAAGAAGAAAAATGCACTGAGCGCCGCGAAAAAAGTCTACGCACTTTATGAAAATACTACTACTATAAACTGTTGTCCGAATTCGCGAAGCGTTTTAAAATACAAAATAGCCGATGCACTTACAATTTTCCCATTCTTTATGACGTGATGGCTCAAAATATCCAAGAACCGCATCAGCCCCAAAAAAACATCATCCACTTGCGAAGTGGGAGCGATGGAAAATTTTGCTCGTTTTTTGCAACCCCTCCGGCACATTATGCAGCGAATGGAGGGAAAACGAATGGGCCATGTTTGTCTAACGTTTTGCACATTTAATTTGAATTTTATGTTATGATGTCCCTCGTTTCCAGGCAGTTGATGGCCCTTTCAAAGTGACATCTTGAATTTATTTGTCCTCGCGTACAAATAGACCGCCCGAGCGCCGAAAACTTGTGATTTTCGGCCTGTTAGAGCGGGCTTTTTATCGTTTTTTTTTTCTGTTTACGTATTACCGGTCTGTCGGGAAAATAATGAGCACAATGTCGCTGCGCAGAGAGCGCCGCTGAACTGGAAGCGATTTGATTTTGCCGCGAAACAATTTATTTTTTTAGCTGCGATGCGATTTTCGATGCGACAGAGTGCTCATTATTTTCCCGACGGACTGATTTTTTAGTATTTTCAGAAAGTGCATGGACATTTGAAGTCTATTGTAGGCTGCAAAAAACAAGAAACTGCACAGTGCAAAAGTAAATTTTTGTTTCTGCACAGTGCATGTCGCGAAAATCACTCTAACTTTTTCATAAACTGCATGGACATTTTTTTCCTTTTTGCACTGTGCTTTTTGAACTTTTTCCCACGTTTGTCGCTAACGCACAGTGCATTTTTCTCCTTTCGCACAGTGCAAGCCTCAAAAAGAGCCGTTTGCAATGTGCAAATCCTGGCCCCGCCGCAGCGACGTTGAAACTTGCTTTTGTCGCAGTGATATTTCAAATGCACAGTGCAAAACCAAGAAATTACTGAAATGCACAGTGCAAAAAACGGGGTTTTTTTGTGCACAGTGCGGACCACTACAAAAGGTCCATGTACTTTATGAAACCAGTACAGAATACAATTTGCAAGCAGAGATTGTAAAAAAATTGCATAGGACTTTGCTCTCGGACAAAAAAGTAATTGGTGGAAATTGAAAGTGTTTGCAGTAGATTGAGTTTCATTTGGCTTTTGAGGGGTTTCACTTGTTCAAAAGATCAAAAAGTTCGGAAGAGCTTGCACTTCTGTTTCCTGATTTTTTGATCGCTCGCGAAAAGAATTTGAGGTGTTAAAATTCGGAACATTGTCAAAGTTTTCCGTAATATTAGTCTGTCGGGAAAATAATGACCACTTTTTCACTATCGAAAATGGCATCGCCGCGGAGAAAATGAATTGTGTCGCGGCGAAATCAAATTGCTTTCTGCGACACTATTGGAGCAGCGACATTGTGCTCATTACTTATTTTTCCGACAGACTGAGAACAATTCTAGATGAAACTTTCATGCCGAAATTTGCAAAAAAAGTTTCATTTCGTTTTTGCCGTCTTTCGATAAAAAATCTCGATTCTTTTGGCGGAGAGCGGACTAGAGATCTGGCACATTCCTTCGACAAAGATTATCGAAAATTTGTGCCAAATTTGATCAAAATCTGAGCGTCACACTTCGAGTACCTACCCCATATGTCTATACTAGGCCTTCCGGAAAGTCGCCGGGGCGATTTTTAAGCTTGCACTCTGCAAAAAAAGACAGAGTGCCAGCGACAGCCCAAAAAAAGCCTAAAAAGAAAGAAACTGCAAATTTCAAAGAAATTTTTTGTTTTCGCATGTCGCAAAATTCATTCCAGCGACTTTGCGAACAAACTTGTATGTCAAAAAGAAGTCACGTTTCAGCAAAGTCAATCCTTCCAACTTTTCGAGCTCTTCTCATAAATTAGCCTCACAAAACTTCGTGTGAAGCCCTTACTCAATTTTGAGAGTGATTTCGGGAACACGTTCTATGTTGCCTTTTTACACTTTCACTTCCATTCCGGCTAATTTTTGCAATTTACCGAACCTTTGAATCCTTTCGAATCCAACTTTTTTTCCTATTCCTCCGGAAATAATCTCACGTTTCAGGGCCTTGAAATTTGTTTGGAGGCTCATTAGGCATTAATTGCGCGATTCAGTCAAAACCTAGGCGGCGTTTGGAAATTAATTGAGCACCTAATTCGTCAAAATCCGCGACAGTTTTGCTGAATTTTCATTGTTTGAACTATTTGTCCTGAGGGCATTTTTTGGGTTTTTGAATTTGGGTCTTACTGGAAAATTGTAGACTCTTTTTTTTTATTGAAAATAATTTTTTTTGAGCGATATGTTCGTATGAGCACTTGCAAATCATCATTTATTCCTTTGATTGTATCAATCTGTCGGGAAAATAATGGGCACTCTGTCGCACGGAAAATCGCGTCGCCGTCGAGAAAATGACTTGTGTTGCGACAAAATCGAATTGCTTTTTACTTCAATGATAGATGCAGCAGATTATGCTCATTATTTTCCCGACAAACTGATATGAGGACTTGCAAATCATCATTTACTCTTTAGATCATATTTTTCACCTATGGCAACTCATAATTACCGTATTTTAAAAGCAATAATCGTGTGTATCCTTGATTTATGGCCTCTTCTTTCGACGTTTTCTTATACAAAATACAAGAATAGCCATTGAAATGCTAATTTGGGCCGTTTCATTGGCCTGTTTCTTTGCAGAATTGTAGGAATTACCTCACTTGTTCCCCTGAACTTTCTAATTCAATAGACACAAACTTCTCTTCTAAATTGTGTATATCCGTTCCTCTATGTGCCTGAAAGTGTGAGTACTCGCTTTGTAGTAACAGCCGATAAATTTAGTGAGTTCTTTGCGAGAGAACATGCAAAATGAGGAGAGTCGGACATACGGAAGACTTGGGAAAAACTGGAACACTTAATTTTTTCCGTTAATATTAAATGCTTACATCATCCTGTTGGAAAAATAATGAGCGAGATGTCAGTGCGCTAGCCGCGTCGCTGAAGTGAAAAGCAATTTGATTTTGTCGCGGAACAATTTATTTTCTCGGCGGCTGAGTGATTTTCGATAGAACTTAGTGCTCATTATTTTCCCGACAGACTGATATTGCTAAACTTTTTGGCGGTTCTTGGAATCCCACATTCCAAGGAAATAATCTTCTAAATCCGATCCAAACATCCGGTTGTATTTTTTTGAAGTTTTATCCACGCAGATCGACAGTCTTGACATTCCTGCACCGCACAGTGCAAATAAATACCTGTGAAGACTTTTTGAACTGTTTTTTACCGGTATGTCGAGAAAATAATGTGGATTTGTCGCAAGAAAACGTCTAGCCTAGTCGCGGTCGTGCACTAAATCTCTAGCCGCGGCTAGCAGTCGCAAAGCGATGATGGGCGTCCAAGACCACATTATTTTCCCGACAGATGATATAATATTAGTTTTTTCTTTTGTCGCTACGCCAATCATGTCGCTAAAGTGAAAAGAAATTTGGTTTTCCGCAACACAACTCATTTTCTAGGCGGCGATGCTTTTTCGGATGCGACAGAGAACTCATTATTTTCCCGACAGCCAGATAACGCCTTAAATTTTCAAATTTTACCCTCGAGTTTAAAAATTTCGTGCTATTTTTAATTTTGCGATCATTAATGCCTTTCTCCCACCCAATAATTCCAATTTTTCAGGCATTCTCCCAACATTTTCACCTGCCCGTTAGCTAATAAACTTACAAGTAAGACTCCCTAATTGTCAGACAAATTGGAATTTGAACGAAATTTCGAGGAATTGCCGCAATTTTGATGAATGAATTCAACCGTTGAAAAGTCCGTGACTTGATGTTGTTCCACAACCGCTCCGAGGCGAACTGCTCAATCTGGACGGCGGAGGCGCGCAATGCCGCCGAGCGATGCATCCGCGAGGAGTTTGGCGCGTATTACGACGGGTGCGGACAGAAGTGCGTTCATGATTTGGAATTCGCGAGTTTCGGGAGGAATATGGAGCTGGAGCACTTCGTTTATGGATTGGTAAGGAAAAGTTAGGCTAAATGTTTCAAATGGCGACATTAACTTGGTTGAAAAATCAAAAAATTTTTCTTGTATTAGTCTGTCGGGAAAATAATGAGCATAAAGTTGCCGATCGCGTCGCGGAAGTGAAAACAATTTAATTTTGTTGTGACACAATTCATTTTCTCGGCGGCGATGTAAATTTTTTGATACGGCAGACTGCTCATTATTTTCCCGACAGCTGGAATTAAACTGATTTTTGATAAAAATCAAAGCTAATTCCGGATTTTAACACCTCAAATACCTGTCGCTAGCAATCTAAAAGGCGCCGATTCGCTCCGTATTTTTCCGACAAATTGACATTACCTTCCAGGCAGATGTTTTAGCTAGCTGCGCGCTGATAATCAATATTTTTTGGACCAAAAATGCTAAAACTTTCCATTCACCCCATATTCCAGCTTTCATTCCTATAAACCAAATTTCTAAAAATTTACATAAGAAGAACTTCAAATTTATCTTTCAGCTCTTCCCAGTCCTTGTCTTCCTTGTCGCCATAGCCAATGTTCTTGTCGCTCTAGTCCTATCGCAACGACATATGGTCACACCGACAAATGTAGTACTGAAATACATGGCAGTGGCTGACTTGTGTGTTGGAGTCATTCCGTTGCCTTGGAATTTCTTTTATCACACGTTGAAGTGAGTTTTTGTATAATTCTCTATTAACAAAAACCATGATGATTTCTCGGACCTGCAATTCTTGTAATTATAATACTTGACGTGGCCAAATAAGGCAATAAAAAAGATTTTTTTAGAAATTACGAACATGAAGATCAGCTGGAATTGTGGTGGTGTTACATGTACAAATATTCAATGGACGCCATCCCACCGGTCTTTCATAACATTGCCATGTGGTTGACAGTGCTGTTGGCTGGTCAACGGTAGGGCCGATTTTCGATTTTTCTTTCAAATTTAGCCTTATATGAGCCAATTGACCACCCTAACTGCCTTTTAAAAATATTTTTTTTAGAACCCTCATTTTTTGATCATTTTTTAACTTCCAAAATTGGCAAATATATATACACAACGTTTCGTTATTTCAGCTACATTTCAATCTCATATCCACTGAGTTCGCGGCAGCTCTGCAGCGTGAAGAATGTTCGCATCTGCACGGCTGTTATCACATTCGTCTGCATTTTGTGTGGCCTCCCCAAAAGTATGGACATTTATTATGACGTCTACGATGGCTGGGCGTTCGACCGGAGCGAAACATGGACTTATCGACGGTACATTTTTGAATTCATTTTTGAGATATCGCATAGTGGAAAATTATTTATATTGCACCGTGCAAGTCATGAAAAAAAAATTTGCACAGTTCAAATTTTTTTTTTCAAATTCAGCACTGTACAAAAAAGCAAAAAAAATTTTTTTTTTCAAAATTTAATTTTTCGTATTTTAGCAGTTGTGTCAGTGGCCTAACGGCCCTTGTCACCACAATCGGCCCCACAACCTTCTTCAATCTCTACTTTCTTTCCCGAGTATTTCTTTTCATCCTACTGCCCAGCTTTCTCCTTACCATCTTGAACTTACTGTTGGTGCGAGGGATCCGAAATGCCCAAAAAAGGAAGCACCACTTGTTGAAAGAGAAACGAGCACGCGAAGCGCAGCGACAAACAGACTCAAACAGCACCAGCACTATGCTGGTGATGGTGGTCAGCATTTTTTTGGTGGTCAATTTGCCCCAGGCGGTGTTTATGTTGATGGTTTGTCTGAGTAATACGTTGGGAATTCACAACGATCTGTTCACTGGGATGTTCCCAGTGGCGTTTATGTTGGTCAGCAACATGCTTGTTATGGTAGGTTTTTAAAGTGGTTAAGATTGTATTGTAGTAATGATATGTATGTCTTCGTTCTTTTAGGCTACATATCCCATCAACTTTGCCATTTATTGCTACATGTCCAGCAGTTTTCGGGATACATTTAGAGTCTTGTTTTGTCGGTAAGTATAACAATTTTCGACTATAATACATAAGAAATTTTTGTATCTCTAAACAAAAAAATCTTGCCTTTCTTTCTTGCATTTGCCGCAATTTTGTGAGAAATTAGGGGAAGGAGAGAAAGCGAAAGACGTCAGAAAACCGGTGTCACCCCAGCTCAAAAAGAAGTATGAGATCTTTCAATTGTCTCCTCGCTGTCTACTATTTAGCCGATCCGACGGTTGGATGAGTTGCCTCGGGCTGGCCTAGTAGATCCACTGCTCGGTGAGCAGTCAAGCGTAACCATGCTCCGCCGTCGGGTCCACTTGGCAACCTTTTTTGTCATACGTTTGAGATGCTTCTTATCAAAAAAATTTGTCAAACTCTTGATGGTGGCTCGTATTTTAAAATTTTCCCCAATTTAACGAAGACATTATTCTTTTCAGCTACTCCACCCGCTGGCATTACCGATTTCCCAGCAAGTCCGGTTCAGGCGGATCGGCCGCGTTTTCGCGGCTCTCCGTTCGTCGCTCCGATCCCAGTGTATCAGTCCAGCTTACGAATGGACGAAAAGAATCTCTCAGCACAGACGCCGTTACTTCCAACGGTTACAGTCAACCTCCACCGTCTCAACAGTTAACGCACTCGGATTCGAAGACGTTGACGCAGGATACTGTATTTTTGTAAACGTTTTACTTATTTTTTGTATTGTTTGAGTTGTTTAGACTTGTATTTATGGCTATAAAAAGTTTTATTATAGACGAATGTGTTAGTGCGTTCACGGCGTATTTTACAAAACAAATTTCAGGGAGTCCTTTCTCCAGAAAATGAAAAAATTGGGCATGGTTTACTTGCAAAACAAGAGCACTAATATGTGCAGACCCTGAATGAAATTTAAATTATATACTTTTTCTTCCAACAAACACTGTTTCCGACAGTATTTGATTATCTTTTCCCCTGTATTTTTCATCATTGTGCTCGCAAAAAGTTTCACTTCCGCCCAAAGGTTTGATTCTTATCGCATCGAGCAGTCTTCCAACTGAACCCTTGCACTGTGCAACCGGTAAAGAAGAAAATATAAAGTATATAAGTTCAATGAAGCAATACAGTAGCGATCTTCATCAGAGAGGATTGGTTTTTCGTTATGATCTATTTGGAAAAACATTTTCATGCGAGCTGGAATGATGTAATTCTTTTTTAGCTTCTGATTTTTCACCTTGTTAACTAAGATTAAATTCAATGACAAAAGGGTGAGATTCGGTGATCAACGACCGGATGGCAATCGAGATCTGTTTACTCGAATATTCACAATTTAGTTTGGAGTCAAAGGTTTGTGATTTTTTGAAACCTGCTGTGTTTTGTGTGGAAATTGGGATGGAAATTGAGATTTTTTGCCAAAAAAGTGATTTATGTATAATAGATTTGAAAAGCTAAAATCATAAAGAAAACAATGCAAAAAATGCCATTTTTCTATATAATAGTCTTGGTAAAAAGTTCGAAAGTTTTTGAACTTTTTTTTGGAAAAAATCTGAAAAAAGCCCTGCTATTACAGAAAGAATGACAGCATATCACAAAATAAAAAAGAAAGGTCTACAGTTTCCGAAAATATCAAAAGTCTTAGGAAATTTATATGGTAAACACCATTAGTCATCGTTTTTCCAAATCTCTAACTTTGATGTCAAGTTCAATATAATTAACCCATTTTTTCATCTGAATCTAATATTTCTACCCCAATCTTCTTCTTCAATGAAATTATCCGACAGTTTTCAATTGATTTTGTTTATTTTTATAATATTTTATATATTATCGATGTATATACAAACATCCTACACTAGACGAAAGATCATTGGTAAGCTCATTGGTCGAATGAAATTACAATATTGGGTAGACTAAACAATAAAAAATCTTGAATATATTATGATAATTGGGATCATTAGACGTGAATTGCATTGGAAATGGGATCAATGACGTAAAGGAAATGACTAAATTGTAAGAATGATACAAAGCAGTAAGCTCAGGATTTTTTGGAGGGAAAATTTGAATTAATTACTCGGTAAAAACAACTAGTAATCGCAGATTACAGGATAAGAAAGGCTGGTAATGATAGGAAAATGAGTAAAAAGGAATTCAAATTGGAGAAAACTTAGTCAGAGTCATTGCTGATGGTGCCTTCGCTTCCATCATCCATAGCCATGCTTCTCTTGGGGGCCAAGTAGTTGACAGGTCCCAAGCGTTTGTGGCAGTACGAGCTGATCCTCAAGCAAGCCTCACGGGTGACCTCCTCGTCATAGGTGAGCACCAGTCGGAACCAGTTAGGGAGGTTGAAGGCCGAACCGGGCAAACAATATACCGATTCCTCGGTAATGAGTCCTTGCATGAAGTTGGTCTCCTCGCCAAAGATGTCCTTGTCGAAGCCCACCATCATGTACATAGCACCCTGAGGGCGGAGGGGCTTCAATCCGGGAACTCGGCTCAAAACTTCGTAGACAACGGCGGCATTTCGGGCAATGACGTCCTTGATGTTGTCGAAGTACTCTTCTGGAGTGTCTCTCAAGATCTTGGGCAGAGCTCCTTGAATCAAAGCGCAAGGGCCAACAATCTTCTGGGAGAGGGCGATCATTCCCTTCTTGACTTCGGTCAAAACTCCGTATCTGTCATGGACAATAGCCCATCCCAATCGCCAGCCGGGCACCAAGTATCGCTTGGCGATTCCGTCAACAGAGATGATTGGAACCTTGGGAGAGAGAGTGGCCATTGGATGGAAGACGGCTCCGTCGTAGGTCAAGTCACCGTAGATCTCGTCGGCAATGATGACCAATTTGTGTTTGAAGGCGAGTCGGAGAATCTGCTCCAAATGGTGCTTGGGGAAGACAACTCCAGTGGGATTTGAGGGGTTGTTGACGATGATGGCGCGGGTGTCGGCGTCAATCAGCGACTCCAAATGCTCCAAGTCAATAAGGCCTCCGTCATTCATCTTCAAGTTGTACTGTTTGGTGTGGATTCCGTTGGGTTGGCAGAGAGTGTTGTACAGAGGGAATCCTGGCGCTGGCACCAAGATGTTCTCTCCGGGATCGGCCAACGCCACAATGGCCATGTCGAGGGCATGAGAAGCGCCCGACGCCAAGATGACGTCATCGGCGGTGAAGCGAGCTTCAGGAGTGGAGAATTTCTCAACCACAGCGTCGCGCGCCTCAGCCACTCCAACAGCTGGACCATAGCCGTCATGTTTGTGGGCATCAACGACCTCATGGATGGCGTCGATGGCGGCTTGGCTGGGTGGAAGGTTGCCGGTAAGTGTGGGATCTCCCAAATTCAGCCTGATTGGAGCTTTGGCCGGGTTCGGGGGCACGGCCAGACTGTCGCAGATTTTGCGGATCGGGTTTACGGTCTCTTGGGCATGGCGAGACGCCTTCATTGGGGTCCATTCGCGTTTCTCGGAACGGCGTTTGGGCTGAAAAAGAGTCATTAGGAAAAGTAGTAAATAATTGTAAAGGTGGTAAGTCAATTTTTGAGGCGGATTTGGTAATAAAGTTTGGAGTAATTTAATCGAAAAAGAAAGAAAGAAAGTTGTGTTTTATGGTTCTGAATTTGAGAAAAAAAATATTTTATGCCCTAAGGGCTTTTTTGATCAAAAAATAGAAAAAAATCAAAAAATCAAACTATCGAAAAATTAGATTAATAAACTTACAATAGCAACTTTGCTGACACTTGGCAATGACTCATGAAGTCCGTACAATGGGTTCTTCCCGTAACTGGCTTCACGTCTCGAGCGCTCCAACGACTTTTTGTTCTTCAACGAGTGCGTCCGAGGCAACTCGTCGGGCCCCAAACTCTTGGGCCGGGGACTGTAATAATAACTCGACATTTTCTGAACGAATCAAGTAGCAGGCAGTAGCAGTCGAATCTGTATGTAGATTAGGTTCACTGAACAAACTGATGTCCACCATGCAACGGATCGGCGTATTTATAGGGGCGCGGGGTTGTAGCCGGACGCTCCGCCCCACTATAACTTGGCGGCGACGAAACGTCGAGCGCTTTCAACGAATCGCTTCGATCTTCGGAACGCAAAAGAATGACGAAATGATGAAACTCTTCGGGTGCGCACTAATCGAACCGCAATGGCGACGAGAGAGTGTACAAAGAGTGGAGAGACAAGTGAATATCGCGAAGAGTGAATAGAAATTGGCAAAAATATCGCTGATTTTTTGCCAAACACTTTGAAAAACAGCCCCAAAACTTACAGAACAGCCAGAAAAGAGAAGATCACAAAGATCAAAGACAAAATGCCCTAAGGGTAAATGGGAAATATAATTAAAATCAGAGAGAAATGTCTGGAAAAAAGCTTGCGAATATTGCGATTTTAGGGAAGAAACGCTTGTCCAAAGAACCCCCGACAACAAATGGCCTAACAGTTAACAAAGGCCAAGTGCGAAATCCAAAAAGAATAAAAAATATCGGACCATTGGCTTGCAAATGAAGAAATAATCGGGTTTTCGGAAGAAGTGGGGATAAAGTTGAAAATTATAGGTGTAATTTATTTTTGAGCAAATTTTGAGGATAGTAATTGCTTGAGTGACTGTATACAGTATGAGTGTTCAGTCGATAGTTTGAAATTTTTTTTGTATTAAAAATGTTATTAATACTTGCTGATATTCAGTTAATTTTTGGCTCAAAATATCGTATGAAACAAGTAGAGTAGCAGAGAGTCTACAGAGACCTTATAGAAAGCGCGATTCTTGTCGCAGAAGCCGAACAACAGCGCTATAGATCACCAAGAACAATGAGATAAGCTTTTACTTTGCTCTTTAGAGATCGTTAAAAACTGAGAGGCTTTGAACTCTCAGAGATCACGAAAAACGATGATAGCCCGCAGAGTCTTTCTCTGATCGTGAAGCCGGCTTTTGGAACAAAGAGATCACACATCTCTCTCCGCCTTCCCGCCTTGTCCAAGCTTTCTGCCACCCTCTTCTTTTCTTGTGCTCTGTTTTATCTCATCTTTCCCTGCCTTTCTCTTCTTTTTCTTCACTTTCTCTCCGCCTTTGATCAGTTTGATCAAACAGTGGGCGGGTCGGCGTAGTCTCTAGTCTGTACCGTCCCCCTTTCTACCCCCACCCAACCCACTCCTCAAGCATGACGAAGAAATATGGGCGGCGTGAGAAAAACAGCGACCGTTTTCGGTCGGAATTGGTCTCGCGCCGCCACGCGACACAAGACCAATCGCCCGTCCTCCTCATTTCCCATCAACTCTGCCGCCTCTCTGTTGATGGATCGTCGTTGATAACCGGGCTGACGACACAGCCGCAGTCTTTTTGTTTTCAACACGTGGGTTTCGATGAAACGGCGATGAAGGGGGCGGAGCGGAGCGGCGTTTGATGAATCGGCGCCCATTTTTAGACCCAACGTGTTTCCAATAACAAAACAGAAATTCAGCGATGGGAAAACGAGAGGAATGGAGAGAACGGAGAGATCAGAGAGAGTCGAGAGTCTCTACGTGCCTGAGGGCCGGAAAAGCAGTAAGACCAAAAACCAAACAAATAAACCGTCTATAGTAAGGGACCGGATGTTCAAGAAGATCAGTGAGAGCATGAAATTCGCGGAACTCATGGTCTGATGTCGTATTTGGGACAATTATGACATCAGTTATATTACACTTGATATTAAAGCAGGAGCTTTGGAAAAGCGATGTGTTTACTTGTCTATGATGACAAATTACTGGTTTTTTTGGCATTTGTGACTCTCATATAATCTTGTATTCGACTGCCAATAGCTGTTTTGTCACTACATAACATCAAATAGCATTTTTTTGGCGTTGTATTGAAAATCGATTATATCGCAAAAAATCTCAAAATTTCGTCATCTTGATTGAAAAAATCTCCTTTTTGGAAAGCTATGGGATTTATCAGCCGTAACTACTGCATATAAGGCCATTTTTCCTCGAAAATTTTTTGATTTCGGCAGCTTTTTTTCGCAAAACAATGCACAAGGTAGATCCAAAAAATCTCAAAAATCTTATTTCCAAACAAGCTTGTAAATTGTTGAGTAAACAAATCTCAATTGTCACCCGATTATTCAAAATGTAGTTTAGTCATTTCTGCGTTCCCCATTTTGATTACCGTCGGTTAGGCTAAAGATTTGACAAAAAAGCCCTTGTTACATCATTTTTGTTTGCGAAGACAAAAAAAATTGTCTTCAAAAAATCTAAAAAATAAATAATTCTTCCTGCAGGCTACTGTATCGTTTCATTGAATCGTCGATTTTTTTTTTGTTTTCTATTTTGGCGACTGCACAGTGCAAGGGTTCAGCCGGCTGCACGATGCGAAAAGAAACAAGCTGTTGGGTGGGTTGGTGGAACTTTGGTTATTAATTTTGCGAGCACATGATGAAACTGGAGCGGAAGGATGATGTAAGAGTGGGTACTGTGGGAAATAGCTTGTGTTGACACACAAAAAAAAACGATTTTTTTATTGAAAAATGTAGAAAAATGGGATTTTTTTTGGGGTTTTGTCGCTATAACTTCGTTGTTGTTGTCATATATGGTCTCCCATTTCGTTTAGGGATTATTATCATTGTTGGTTTTGATTCTGAAGTAAAAAATATGATTTTTTCATTTTTGAAAAATGAGATTTGTTGATTTTCATGCCTTCATTTTTTCATAGTTTTATCAAAATTAAGTCTAGAAACGCAAGGAAACCTACTTTATCACAAATTTTTTTATTTTCAGAATCAAAAAAATCTCAATTTTACACTGTTTTTTCAATATTTTAACTCTCTCGCAACTCCATAAATTTGACCCCTCTCAATTTCGCGCTTATGAAATCAACTTCCTTTTTCGTATACGTGACATTTCCAACTTCCTCAATTGCATCAAACAAAACCACTATTACTCATCAACAACATTTCTTGACCTGTCTCGGACACCCGCATTCGCCCATTTCCAATCTCTGATCGCCATCTTTTATCGCTCGATGCAAATTTCCCCCTTTTGCATCATGCTTTCGTCATCCTCTCCCAATTTCATCATCCCCATCGCGCGGCCCTCTCATTTTTTGAGAGCAATGTTTTTTTCGCCGACAAAATTTCGTCGACGCATTTCGTCGACAGCGGGCGAAAATTATAAGCATGATGCAGTCGGCGGGCGGTGTGTGTTATCGCGCGACGACGGTCGCCGCTTTTTCGGACTCGCTGTCCACGAAATGCACCGGCGTGAAAAAAAAGCGGGCGAGAGCGATTGGAACGGCGACGGGTTCAGGTGGCGAGAACGGAACGACCCCAAACAAAAGTTGATCCGCGATAACACAGAGGTCAATCATATGGTAGAGGGGTGAGTGGAGGGCTGATTGAGGCGGGGGAAGAATGATGGAACACAGTTTTGGTTTGTGGTTTATATCAGTCTGTCGGAAAAAAAACGGCGGATTGTCGCAGCGAAATGTCTCGCCTCACCGCTGTCGCGCACCAAATGCCAAGCCGCGGCTTCCAGTCGCACAGCGATGATTGGCGATTTCGAGGCGCGAAGATCCGCCGTTTTTTTCCCGACAGACCGATACGACGGAGATTGGGGGGCCGAAAGAATGCAGGGGGCAGATTTTGGGGGGAATGGAAAGTTACTAGTCGGGACAAAAAGTCCTGATAATTTTGCACCGTGCGGATTTGAACGTTTTGGGTTGTCGCTGCGAAAATCGCGAAAAAAAGTGTTTTGCACGGTGCATTTGACCCGAAAAGTGCATTTGCACAGTGCATTTTTGTTTGTGTTTGCCTTACGTCGCGCGCGATTCCCCATTTTTCGGAGCGACAAATCGTTTTTTCAGAGTGCGACAAAAACCGCGCAAAATCTGCACGGTGCAAAATTATCAGGACTTTTTGTCCCGACTAGTACTATCAAAAAAAAGCACTCAAATCATGCATGAAGATACTAGTCGCGACATAAAGTCCGTATCAGTCAGTCGGGAAAATAACGGCGGATCGTCGCGCCTCCGAATCGCCCATCATCGCTTTGCGACGGCGGCCGTAGCTGGAGATTTGGTGCGCGATAGCGGCGAGGCGAGACATTTTGCTGCGACGACCCACCGTTATTTTCCCGACAGACTGATAGAATTTTTCGCGGCCCCCAAATTCCGTCGCGCTCCGAAATGTTGATTTGTCGCTGCGAAAAACGGTAATCGCGCGCGACAATAAGGCAAAATCAACAAAATTGCTCAGTGCAAAATGTGTTTTCGGGTGAATGCACAGTGCAAAATGCTTTTTCGGGTTTATGCACAGTGCAGAAAATTCTACGGACTTTATGTCGCGACTAGTACTACTAGGCGTTCCAGAAAGTGCGTGCACCCTTCGTCGCAAATTTTCCGCACTGTGCATTTGACCTTTTGCACCGTGCAATTCAAAAATCGCAGCGACATAAGCTTTTTTCAACTCTGTCGCCGCGCATTTTTGACGCGCGACGACAATTGCACAGTGCAAAAAGAAGAAAAATGCACTGTGCGCCGCGAAAAAAAGTGCACTCACTTTCTGGAACGACTAGTATTAGCATTTTCACGAAGTGCCTGGACATCATTTCGCTTTCGCACAGTGCATCTTGAACCTTTGTCGCCAACGCACTGTGAAATTTCCCGTTTTCGCACCGTGCAAACCTCAGAAAAGCCGATTGCACTGTGCACATTCTCGCGGAGGCGCAGTTGAGAAAAGCTTACGTCGCAGCGATATTTCAAATGCACAGTGCAAAACCAAAAAAAAGGTCAATGCACGGTGCAAAAAATCGGGGGCCTTTGTGCACAGTGCGATTCGCGACAAATATCCAGGCACTTTGTGAAAATGCTAATAGTCCTTCCGGAAAGTCGCCGGACGGAAAGCGGCGACATGCACTGTGAGAAA